GAGTTAGGTGTTGGTTCTGACTTGACAGAATGAGTGCAAGCTAACAAATGACAAATATATACTAATAAGAAGCATGTGACATCAAGATTGGAGAAGATTAATCAACATCTTGTGCTTGGGAAAGGACACAACCTTGCTCTTGAAAATGAAGAACTTGAAGCATTTAGTGAAGAAGATCAAAACCAACATCTTACAGTGTTGCACATTTCAAAGAAAATAAAATTGCTTACAATCAGACCAAGAAATAATATCATGATAGAGAAAAAAACTAAAGTTGTTAATGACTTCATTTTACTTGGGTCCAAAATAAAAAACCATGGAAGCAGCATCTTAGAAATCAAACCACAAATTGCACTGGCAAATCTGATGTCAAGGACCTCTTAAAATGCTAAAGAGTAAGGATATCAGTTTAAAGACTAAAATGAGTCTGATTCAAACCATAGTGTTTTCAATTGCTTCACATGCATGTAAAAGTTGGAGAAAGAATAAAGAAGAATCAAACAAAATGGAGGTCTTTGAATTGTGGTGGTAGTAAGAGTACTTAATATATGGGTAGTAAGTACTTAATATCCCATACATTGTCAGAATAAGAAGAAAACCAAAAATCATTGTTGGAAATAGTGCAGCCAGGGAGCTCTTTAGAGACCAGGATGGTAAAACTTCATATCACATATTTAGGGCATGTTCTCAGGAGAGTCCAGTTCTTGAAAGAGACTATCAAGCAGAGAAAAGCAGTGATTGGAGGAAAAGAGAAGACCCACAATGAGATGAAGTTATATAGTGACTGCAACAATGGTATAGGACAGAGCAAGGTCTCCATCTGTTCTTCAAAGCATTTCTTTTAGTCAGAGTGGACATAATGTACCTAACAATGTCCAATTTATTATACATCTTTTCATGGGCTTAATGGCAATTTGCAGATAGTCTTAGAGAAATGTCTATTCAAATCCTACGCTGATTTAAATATTTTTATTATTTACCTGTTAGAATTCTGGATATGCTTCTTATCAGACACGTTGTTGCTAGGTGACGTCAAATTGATTATAACTCACAGTGACACTATGAACACAGATCTGAACCCTGGCCTATCCTGTGCCATCCTCATCATCTCTGACATACTAGAGCCAATCAGTGTAGTTACTGTGTCAGTGTATCCTTTGAGGGCCTTCCTCTCTTTTGCTGACACTCTGCCTTTCCAAGCATGATGTCCACTTAACAAAGCAGTTCTAAATTATAATTAAAACAAAACAAAATATTGATAAAGCTGAAAATGTACCTGTTTTAATTCATTAACTTTCTCAGAGTCTCCAGCTAAAGGTGTTGCTGAAGACTGTTCATTTGTTCCAGGTGATGTTTGGGAAGATTTCTACAAAGAGCAAAGAAATCAATTTATGACGTAAATTCAGTCTAGGGAGACCAAAAACATTGGTAAATACGAAATAGAGCTGTATACAGACAAGCTATGTCTTACAGATTTTCACCCAAAATTTCACATGAGCATTTTAGTTTTTATACCCAAATAAAATTTCAATAACATTCTAATATAACTCTGAAAATTTAATATTATATTTAAACCAAATGTAATTTCTTACATTTAAGCACTCATCTCAATTCACATGGAAAAAAGATGAAATCAAAGTAGGTTATTAGTGTGTATTTTCATTGTGGTAAGGTGATTTTATGCAGAGTATCTCACTGAATTCTCACAACAAAAAATAGGTTATCATCACTACCATATCTAGATCAGGAAATAAGTTTAAGGAGTTTCATGAAGTGGCTCAACTTGATTTTAGATTGGAAATAGGGAACATCAGTCAGTCTGACTCCAAAGCTTATTATATTCTAAGAGGATCTAGTAAAACAGGATAATGAGAACTCATTTGGATTTCTTAAAAAATATTTTTAACATTTATGTCTTACCAAATTTTCAATCAAAGAGTCCTTTTCAGCCAGCAGACTTTGTAAAAGTTCCTGATTATTTTTTAATTCTTTTACTTCTTCACGTAACCTTCCAATTTCTTCTGGCTGAATGCCATTCATCTGATTCCCATTATTATGAGACCCTAGATGTGAACTGTCTTTTCCTAGTAGGCATAAAATTTAAAAAGAGAGTACAATTTTTTTTTAACATTAGAAGGTTCAAAGAAAAATTTAAATAGGTCATTCTCTTAATGCAACTGTGCCAACAGTATTTTCAAAGCACTGAAAAACAACATGTTGTTATTTTCAGGATTTCTAGGATGGGGCAGGGAGTGAGGGAGTGCATGCACAGTCTCAATAAGCCTAAACTGTGATTGATAATCAAGAATTACACAAGTTTCAATTATACTTCTACCAATTAACACAAGGGTAAATAAAATTCCTTTAAAACTCTTCAGAAAGGAATAGCATTCTGTGTGAAATTAAAAAAAACCTAACAAATTATTGCCTAAATAAGGTGGTAAAAAAGTATTTCTCTAAAAAATTTTGTTAGCCTCATATAAATAAAAAAAAAAAAAAACCCCTCTACTTCTGCCCAAGTTAGATGACTAAGTTATCAAGTGGCTATAGAGTAAACTCCCCTGACAAGTTTCTGGAAATACTGATGCTGAGACACCATTCAAGGTGACGAAATCAGAGTCCCAGAAAGGTACTGGCACTGGTATTTTTAAAACACTTCTCAGCAAATCCTAATGTGTAGTTAAGACTGTGAATCAATGAGCCAGATAATGAAACAGCAAGGAGTTTTTACTTCAAACTACAGGTATCATTCTTAACTACGATGTTGTTTTGTTTCAAACTCTGATTTATATATTTCTTAAAGTGATTAACTTAAGATTAACCAATTTTGCCTCTCTCGGATCCTCGCTTCCAACATGACGAAGAAAAGGAGAAACAACGGTCGTGACAAAAAGGGCCGCGGCCACGTGCAGCCTATTCGCTGCACGAACTGCGCCTGGTGCGTGCCCAAAGACAAGGCAATTAAGAAGTTCGTAATCCGAAATATAGTAGAGGCAGCTGCTGTCAGGGACATTTCCGAAGCGAGTGTTTTCAATGCCAATGTGCTTCCAAAGCTCTATGTGAAACTGCACTACTGTGTGAGTTGTGCCATTCATAGCAAGGTGGTGAGGAACCGTTCTCGTGAAGCCCAAAAGGACCGGACACCTCCACCTAGATTTAGACCTGCAGGTGCTGCCCCATGACCACCACCAAAGCCCATGTAAGGATTTGATTCTTTAAAAGGCTGAAGAAAAAACTTGTCTGAAAATAAAATGGAAATTACACTTTAAAAAAAAAAAAAAGATTAACCAATTTTATTGAGTCAACTCGGATGCCAATCTTGTATCTGTCATCTCAGAACTGTGCTCCATAGGGCTTCCCCTCTTACAGGTTCTTCAATGTTGATCCTTTGGGTAGAAATCAAGCCTTTCTTCAGAACTATGGAGCGGACTTGAACTGTTGCTTGTCAGACAAGCTCATTTCATCACTTGAAGCATCAAGGAATTTCATTTTAGGTAAGGAAATGGCTAACCTACAGGAAAAGTCTCACTTTGTCTAGCTTGTGGGTAACAGAATGTCTGGGTACTATAAGAACAACTCAATGCCATCTAGTCCATGATATAGTCAATATTCTTTAACAACAGCACAATTCATATATTCATTCACGGCCCAACATTCACATGCAGATGAAGTAATTTGAAAACACCATGGTCTGGGTCAGGTACATTTTAGTCATTAAATGGATATATTTATTCTTTAGCACATTAAAAAGTCTTTTTGATATACTGACTACTGTTTCCATTAGTGCTGACTGTAGATCTAAGTAAAATTAAATCCTTGACAGCTTCTTTTTTTTTTCTCCATTGATATGATGTTGCTTATGGTCCAGTTGTTAGAATTTCTTCTTTCCTGATGTTGAGGCTCAGGAAGCACTTAGAAGTGCTCACTAGCCTATGTCAAGAGATTTGGAAGACAGTTACCTAGTCAACAGACTAGAAAAAAATCCACCTAGTCCTAATCCAAAAAAATATGTGGAACTTATCAAACAATATCAATAATACTATGCACAAGTAAAATTCTGCTGAAGACAATTCAAAACTAGCTGCAACAATACAAGCAAAGAGAACTTCTAGAAATTCAAGCTGGATTCAGAACTGAAGGCTGTTGTTTTTAATGAGCTTCAGTAAGTGCATGAAGTCCTCTTCACTTTCTGCATGTGAGGTTTTGTCACTTATGTAATACAGGTCATAAATAAGAATTATTATCATATTCTTATTCATATAACCCAGCTTCTTGAAGTATCTGCTCAGCATACAGGTTGAAGAGATGTGAATGAAGAATACAACAACCCTGATGCACACATTTTCTGATTTGAACCATGCACAATTGTCTTGTTCTGTTAGAATGACGGCTTCTTAGTCCATGTAAAGGTTTCACATGAGCACAATTATGTGTTCTGGAATCTCATTTTTCTCAGTGATATCCATAATTTATAATGATTTGGACAACTGAATGTTTTTGCACATTTAGTACAAGAAAATATCTTTCTGCTATTCTCTAATTTAACCATCCATCTTACAATAACAAAAAAATCCCTCATCCCATGGACTCTTCTGAATCCAGGAAGAATGTCTGACAGTGCCATGTGGATGTACTGCTCCTGATGTTTCTGAAGAATCTTTAGCAAGATTACTCACATGATATAAATGATAGTATTCAATCATTTCCTCATTTTGTTGGATCATCAAAACTTTATTCTACTTAGCCACATAGCTGTCTTCAAAATTTCTTTGCATAGATGAGTGACCATGTTTATGGCTACATCTGTTTGCTTTGCTGACCACCTCTACTGATATTACATCAGTTCCAAGAGCCTTATTTTTTTCCAATTTCTCCAGTGCAGCTTGGATTTCTTCTTTCAGAATCACTGGGTTTTGATCATGTTACTTGCTAAAATGGTTCAATATTAATACCAATTCTTCTAGGTATAGTGACTCTGGATATTCGTTGCATCCTTTTCAATGTTTCCTATATCAATCAGTATTTTGCCCATAAGAGTTCTTCAGTGTTGAAACTCAAGGCTTGAATTTTTCTTCAGTTCTTTCAGCTTTAGAAGTGCTGGTCACTTTCCTACTTTTTGGTTTTCTAACTCCATATCTTTAAACATTTCATTAGAATACTCTGCTTTACGAGTGCTTCACTTGTCCCACCTGCCCAAAGCAAGATATCAACCCCCAAAGAAGACACAGTAGCAATGGATTTCTTGGACCCAGAAACCCTGATGGATCTTTCTGATAGTGATTTTAAAAGAACAATGATTGAATATTTTCAATGGATAAAAAAGAAACTGGATGAAATA